GGTATCTTTACAGCTTATGGGCTGAAATTGATCAAAGCATCAAACTGAGTGGCTGAGTAAGTAACTGCATATTTGCTCGGTAGTATTATTCTCTCATTCACAGAGCTTGTGTTAGTTTTACTTTTATTTATATCTCTTAACAGTTATCTTACGCACAGTCACCTCCACATCCTTTCTTTCTTCCTTCATCTTCCATCGGAAAATCACATATTCGTTCAAAACATGGCGGAGTGGCCACTGTACTGATGATTCCCACCCCATTCCGCACCGATTCTGCCGTCTGTGTTTACAGTTTAGGGATGAAACACAGACCGGACAACAGCAAATGCACATACAGACTCGCTTATTTGGATGTCTGAATTAGCACTCACTGCTTTCCCACAACTGACAATATTCGACTATGTCCCTTTCATCGGCTGGCCTACAGCGTCAGACAAACATCCATAGTTTACATTTTTCAAAAAAATTTCCAAAATTTCCTGTGTGTTTTTTTTTTCTATTCAAATTTCACTTTATTCGACGATGAAGGGCAATATATTGGTTTTGTTGTACAGGATGAAGCGGATTTGGCCAATTTACAAATGCGAAATTGGCAGAACAATATTGTGAACCCATTGCTGGCACTGGTGGAAGCGGGACGTGATATTCGCAGTCGTGGAGTGGAGCGTTCTTGTCGTGACTACGAAAATAAATTTGTAAAAGCGGAAGCTGACGCAAAGAAACATGCCAAGGTTAGCACTCATTAAAAAAACACGTGTAATTTTATGATGAATTTTCGTGATTATGCCTAGCAGTAAGATGTTTATAATATAATCTGAAGTATTATTTTGTTTAAAAATATTATTTTAGAAAATTTTTAAAAAATGCTTGAAAGAAATTTTGCTTAAAAATATTATATTTTGTTATGAATTAATAAAAAAAGTATTATTTTCAATGTGTCATTTTGTTTTTCAAAATGTTAGAAATTAGAAATTTTCTCGTTTTTCTTCTATTTTCGTCTAAAAAGTTGGTGTTTTGGTGAACGTAATTCATCTTTTTAATTCTTATCAGGGACAGTGATTTATA